GACGAAACAGGACATAGGTGTTGGAGAGATGGCCTGGCGAGCTGCTGGAAGTTGGAGCATGGAACATGGAACATGAAGGAGCGTGGCGTGCAGGTGGTGTGTTGAAGGATGCACCTCCAGGGCGGCCCAGGCTTCCAAGTTTCAGGGTTCCAAGTTTTGTTGCTCGTGTCAAGCCCTTTGCATCGCCGGCCATGGTCGTATTTTACGGCGAAGACACCGATCGTGACTGGCCCGGCGGGTTTTCGGCGTAGGTACACACGCGAGCGACCTACCTCGTACACAACACACACGGGCGAGAATCGAGAAGGTGGACAACTCCAAGGACCGAACACTGGTGTTAAACATATTGAAATTCCCAAGTCCCCGCTATGGCAAATCATCGCTTATCTGGCTCCCCCCCGCGCGGCCCATGGCGCGCATCTGCACCAGACTGGTCTCGTCGTCGTCGTACTGCACCGCAAAGGTCTGGTGGCGGATGATGCCGCGCTCCTTGGCCGGGACCGTCTCGACGCTGCTGCTCGCCTCGGCGCTGACGTGGTTCGACGTGGTCGCGAAGTTGCCCATGCCGCGGCGCTGGCTGGCGTGCATGCGGCTCGAGGGCATCTGGCCGCCCGTGTTGTAGTTGTACGCCTTGCCCGTGGCGTAGCTGCTGCCGGAGCCGAGCGCGGGGAACACGCGGACCAGCAGCAGCCGCAGGGTCGGCATGCAGGTGCAGATGATGCCGACGTTGATCTCGACGGTGGACCACAGCGAGACGGGGAAGTTGTCGGACGTGGCGTTGCTCGACTTGGCAAAGGTGACGAGCGCCTGGAGACGGATGATGGACACGATGGTGACGCTGTCGGCGGGCGGCGGGGGTTAGCCAGGGCAGATTCGGGTTCGGGGCGGGGCGACGGGCCACATACAAGGTTCCGACGACAAACATGAAGCCGACGCCAATCTTCTTCTTCCAGTGCAGGTTCAGCGTGTTGATCTGGAAGAGCGGTATGGCCAGCATCCACACGTCGAGCGCGATGCTGATGGCGGCGTGGGCCCAGGCAATGGATCGCTTATCCAGGCATGTGCCGTCGTGCTCACCGTCCCAGCCCTGCCAGTAGTGGCTGATGGGCTTGCACTGGAAGACGGCGAGGATGAGGAAGATGACGCCGTACAAGACGTTCAGGCCGAAGGTGCCCCAGAGCAGGCGGCGCACGCCCCGGCTCGGGAAGATGCGCAGGTAGAAGAGCAGCAAGGCCAGCTTGATCAGCACGACCTGGCTGAAGTAGATCAGGACCACGACGAAGAAGTAGAACAGGAAGGTGTCGATCATCTGCGGCGTCAGCGTCCAGATGTCGCGCCCCACGCCGTTGGTTGTCGTGCCGTAGTGCGTGATGGCGATGCTGGGGATGCCGATCAGAATGAGCACCAAGACGACGTAGTCGTCGGCCGCCAGGCTGCGCGTCACCGAGATCTTGAAGCCCAGCCGCAGCACCACGATGCTGCACGAGATGACGCCCAGCACGATCGATACGGTGTCGTACGTCGGGCCCTGGTTGTGGATCGGCATGCCGCACAGCGTGTGGACCGTCATGTTTTTGGTCACTAGGCAAGTGGCAAGTCAGTTGGTCGCCCGGGCGGCAAACGAGCAGAGCAGGCGCCGGCTCCGAGAAACATACCGAGCCCCTCCCTGATGCTGCACTTGCCCATGACACAGCGCGTCATGTCGTTCTGGAGGTCCATATTGGCGCAGAGACAGGCCGGCGTCGAGTTCGTCGCACAGGTCGACCTCGGAATCACAATATCCAGGCAAGCGGCCTACCCAGCAGGAATCCGAAACATTAGTGCCCTTGGTCTTTTTTCACGAGCGCAACAGCGAACACTGGCGGTGGACATACCGCACAGACGGGCAGCTCCCGGAGTACGACATCTGATGCGGGATCGAGCTTCAGGGCCGATGCCAGCGGCACCACGGCCGCCATCAGCGCGACGGCGAGCCCAAAGATCGCTCTCATGTTGGGCAGGGGAAGGTGTGGTGTCGTGTCGGTTACCGAGTACGGAGTACGGGACACAGGAGACTCTACAGGAGAGGCCGGGCGGGGTGCGGTCGCGGCGGCCTTATCATGGACGGCGCGGCAATGGCGTGCGGGACATGCATCTTAAATTGAAATGCGCAACCTATCAAACGCCGCGCACAAGTTGTGGCAAGCTAGTGGCAGACTATCGACAGCAGAGACTCTGGGGTAGCCCCTGCTGCTGCAGTCTGTGCGCCGACTCGATCGTTGACATCGGGAGAAGAGATGGGACGAGGGGCCGCCCTCGAGGAAGCAGCCAGGGGCAGTTTTTTGCGGCCACGAGCCAGAAAGCACATGCTGCAGGTCGGCACGGACGGCACGACTTCGGGCGTCGGCCCAGGCCTGGCAGCGCCACATGGAGCCGGTCGCCTCCTTGGTACATGTACGACCTACCTACCTTGGCGCGCACGCACGCTCAGGCGGGGTGCAGGCCGCCCCCAGTTTCCAACGCCTATTAAAGGACCGCCAGATCCACCCATGCATCCGGCCACAGCTGCCCTCATTTCGACCAGCTCTGCCCACATGGGAGCACCATGCGGTTTCGGCCAAGGGGAACCCGCGCCGCAATCCCTCGTCCACGAATCCCATCTCGCCTGCACAGCATCGCTCAGGCCAGTAGTCGACAATGATCCATCGAGAGTCCGACAAGACGCGATGCGGACGGCCCGCAGCCCCAGTTTGGTCCACGGCGCCCGCCAGCTCGCCCGGGAGGAAATGCGCGGCAACGGAAAGGACGGAACAGAGACCTGGAAAGAGGCAAGAAAGGCGAGTGCAGCCGATCGGTGATGATAAGCGGCCCAAGCTGCGCAAGTGCTGCAGCGACGGCGTGAGTGATGACATGGTTCAATGATCAGGCTCAACGGCGTATGATTCTGCTCTGTTGCCTGGGGGCCGTGAGCAGAGCAGGCCGGCTTGATTGGTCCCAGCACGCATCCAGCCCTGTCCCCCTGCCCCCCTGCCCGCATTGATCGCAGGTCTCTCCAGCAATCACACGCGGGCGTCCCGAGCTAAACATTGCGGGGATGCGGGGTGAAGGCCCAGGGGTAAGAAGCCTAGCGAGCCTAGAATCTGCACCATGTGGTGAATTGTCTCGCCAAGCATCCAGGGGTCGGAGGAAGAGGCGCGCTAGAAAGCAGAACACTTGATTGCGGCCCCCGGATTGGTGGCCGAGGGTCGCCAATGTCCTGACTCCAGTCCCTGCCTCCCTGTTTTTGACCGTCTTGGCACCAACCATCATCACAACACGACCTGCAGGAAGCATCATCGTCGCCAACCCAACCACGCGGTCGCAACACGACCAGCTGGGTCGAGTCCAAAAAGTGCGACGGCGGAATTCACCTCGGCGCCCACGCGACACCGTCTTTCTGGCTTCCAGCTTCTTCTACAACTGCACTCTCGCCAACCCCCACGATACCCAATTTGCCATCGACGCCCAGTACAATACTAGCCGAAGGCCGAGATCGGTCCCCAAACCATCGCATTAGCGAATCATGGGGAAAAAGGAGGTGAATTGTCGATCTCACCTTGTTTTATTCAGGTCTGCATCGTAACACCCAACCCAGTCTACATTGGACACGCTCGGCGCCGAATTCTCAACACACTCGGGACAATGGCTCCAACTCCCCCCAAACGGTGGCCAGGCAGCTGCAGGATCGCGACCACGATACCGATCACCACTACCTCAGAAACAGCTCTTGCGACATACAATACTCGGCCATCACTATCAATACCGCGAACAGACATACCTAATCTAGGCGAGAAGAAGGCATCGATCGACTTGGAAATCAGGTGGACACAAGATATGTATGCTGCCGTGCATGCTGCCGTGGCGATACAAGACCCGCCGAGACTTTGTGGCCGTTTCCGAAACAGGTTCAGAACCCAGCAACAGACTAAGCGAAATGCGCCCCAGTTGACACGGCAACTAGCCTCGGACTAGACCGGCGCCGGGACCCTGCTCCTGTGCCACAGACGTCCCAGGGGAGTCGGGCATGGATGGTCATGGTGTTGCGGCAGGTGATGGAACTCCAAGATGGATGAGTGGGGAGTCGGATCGGCAATCCGCACCTGACTTTGTGACAATGTGTGTGTGTAGGTTACTTCCAGGGCCTGGAACGTGGCATTGGGTTTGTATTTTGGTCTTCCAGACTCCCCTCGTTGCCGCCACTCTGCCTACCCAACTTGGATGCCGTCCGCAAGATTGTAGTACAGTAAACAGGGAACTGTCCGGTAGCGTTGCCAGCCACAAAGTACCGGAACCTCGGTACGTTGCCGATCCCTCCAGGGTACAAAGCATGGTTGGGAGACCAAAAGCTTAAGGGCAACGGCGGACTTTCGGTTGCACACTAGCGCTCTGGTAAGCTTTAGGTAGCTCCTGGTTCTATGATCCTCGGGAACCAAATGTTGAGCCCCTGCCACATGGCGAAGAGTTGTCATTTCCACATTCCACATTGATCGACTCCACTGGCTTTCAGACCGCAGCCTACCTGAGCAATTCTGAGTAGCGCCCAACGCAAAGACTTTGTTGTTGCTGTTGTTGCTGTTCGCCGGATATTGGCCTCTCGGGAATACAAATGGTACCTACCCAAGGATAGTTACCACAACCACCGAGGAGCAACAAGACGGAATGGGGGTTCTCTTCTATCACGGTTATGTAACGCTCTGTGACTCAGAACGAGAGTTGTTAGTATACACCCTATTGTCCCAATACTTGCGAGATGCTCATCTCCCTTAGTCCCTCTTCCTAGACACATCCCGCACCTCTAGTTTGCAACCCACAACACTGAGGCCCTCATGTCTGCTATCAGCAAACGTTCCCAAGCAGAATTCAGAAATCAACAACAACAAGAAATATAAGGTGTAGTAGGCGCAGCGGTTGGGAATTGTACTTGCACATCTTTCTGCCCCTGCCATTGGTAGGACGAAACAACTCCCGATTTTAACATCGAAGTCACTTTGGCGGAGTGGTTAACGCGCTGCCCTGCTAATTCCAAGCTTAGGCAGTTCCCTCGGGAGCGTAGGTTCGAATCCTGCAGGTGACGTTTCTTTTGCTTACGTAGCCCTCACCCACCCCTTTTTTTCGCATGCGCATCGCATAGCACAGTGGTATGTGTCTGGCATCCCCCATCTCCAAGCGCGAAAACAAGAATGCAAACAATCTTGACAAGATGCCTGCCGTTTATCCAACTATCATCTGCGGGTTTCTACCCCTTAGCTAGAAGATCTGCCAAGATCAATATGTACAGGTCTGGACTTCTCCTTTCCATGGATCACCCCGTCTCAAAGTTCATGCTCGCTTCGCTTTTGACATAGCTCAAACAGTACACTGCAACTACAGGCATAATCCCAGCCAAGTCTAGGATGCTCTTCATAACCCCTATTTTTGCAACTCGAGGAAACTTGCCAAAAAATGACATGCGAGATGGCAAAAGGAATGTGCTGCGTCAGCCGCGAATCGAACGCGGGGCCCATCGATGGCAACGATGGATTTTACCACTAAACCACTGACGCTGTTGTGGATGTTGTGGGTCGCTGCGGATAGCCTCTCTTTCTGCGGCCTGAGACTTGGCCCGAGTCCGCCAGCAACCGGTCACCTTCACCCCCCTCGCGTTTCCTCGGCAGCTCTCTCCTTTGCAACCCTGATCCAGCTCTTGGGATATCCCCTTGCGATTCTCCATTGCTCCGACTCCGTCTCCGCAGCGATGAGCAACTCCTCTCTCCAAGTGCCCGCCATGTCCTGCCTCCAAGCGAGCTGCCCTCCCAGGGCCCATGAGATGACGCTTTCGGCCCTTGCGCCGTCGGGAGCGTCCAACAAGCCAACCGCTACATCCACCACCCCCGGCCGGTCGTCGCAAGCATAGAACACACATGCCGAGCACCGCCCACAAAGGTATCGCTACACGTCCGGTAAGCTAGCATAGAGCGCGAGCGTGCCGAATCTAGGATCCCGGGTCCCGCCATCCCCAGCCTCGACAGCCGCCCCCAGGTCCACGGCGCTCTGCGGGAATCCGCCGCCGTCACCTCCAGCAAAGGAAACGTGCCTGAGAGCGGAAAAGGTCCAGTGGAACAGCTCCGCCCCGCTCCAAACCCGGCACGTATCGCAGCTATCCACCAGGCCCAGCGCCTTGTGCGTGACGGGGTCAACAAACCACGGCAGCTCCCGGCCCCTGCGCTGCCACTCGGCATACTCCCGCTGCGCCTCGCCGGCGCGCAGCACAAAGTCGACGCCGCCGCAGTGGCAGCGAACCGGCACCTCCCCCGCCGGCCCCTCCGCCCCCTTCAACCCCACCCCACACTCCCCACAAAACAGCACCGTCACGCGTCCCGAGCGCCGGTACCGCCGCAGCGTCGAGTGTGGCGCCGCTGCCGCCGCGGCAATGGCCGCGCCGTCGCCCGGCCAGGGCGTGCCGCTCGCGCGCAGGGCGCCCGTGACGCGGCGGCACGAGGTGCAGTGGCAGGAGGCGGCGGGCAGGGGGAGTTGGGCGGGGAGCGGGGCGGTGAAGGTGCGGGCGGTGCAGAGGCATTGGGCTTGGAGGGTTGGCATGTTGGTTGTGTGTGGGGGGGTGGTGGTGGTTTGTCTGAATGCTGCTTGGGTTACGGGTAGTGTGGGTTTTCTGCGGGTTTGCGGCGCGGTACTGTGAGCGAGGTAAAATGTAGTGTTTTTATGTTTTTCTGTGTTGAGATCGAGTCGGCCCTGGAGAACGCGGAATGGTGTTGGGCCTACGGTTGGATTAAGGTTGAGCTCGCAGGCTGGCGGCAGGATACCGGGAATGTGCGGGGGTGGCGCGGATGGCGGGACAGGTTGGTGCTTGAAGGTGTTTGATTCGGTACACTGCATGTACTCTCGGCTTTGCATGCCGGGCCTGTTTCTTGACCGAATTAGGCAGGTGCCTCTCCAATCCATGATGCCGATCCTGCACTCTGCCCTCCACCGACGTCACCTCTGAGCCTTCCAGAAGGAATACCAGTTCAATAACCCGCGTAATATCCTTCATCCCCAGCTCCTACCCTTGCTGAGCAGATACTGTATCATTGTCCTGTAATCATATGCCGGTCTCGACAATCATCACCCCTTCAAACCAGCCGCCAACTCCAATAAGCCAACCCAATGCCGATGACGCTGCCCCTTCCCCCAAAGCCCCCTTTTAGACCACCCGATCACTGTTTCCCCCAAGCGTGCTCGGGCTCGCAAGTCCGGCATCCTCCCCCGACCCATCATGCTTCAGCAACTTTCTCCTCGCCGCACGCTCCTCGTCCTCATCGTCGCTCGCGAGCCCATCCAGCTCAAATTCGTTGGCGTCACGGAGCTGGGTGTCGTCATTATCCCCGCGGGAAACATGCCCGTTTCTGTTGGCGGCCAGCTTCGCCGGCGGGTTCGCGCCACGATCATAGACGTGGATGAGCACCATGGTGAACAGGAAGAGCAGCGAGGCCAGGCTGTAGAGAATCAGGATGTACGCAACGTGGTCGATCCCCGAGCCCGCCATGAGCAGCATCTGCTCTTCGGTGGCGCCCATGAAGAGAAAGCCGGAGGCGTAGAGAAACTGGGTGGGGTGTTAGGGGCCATCTGGCGGAGGCAGGCATGTGTGGGAAGGCTTACAAAGACGGGGACGTATTGGAAGCTGTTGACCTGCATGCCGTCCTCCGAGACGCCGGGCTTGTCTCTGAGGACGAAGGAAACCTCGATGATGCGCGTCAAGCCCGCTGCCATGAGGGTGTAGCCGAACATTTGGTGGGTCATGGCGCTGATCATCAGCTCCTGCGGATGCGCCGACATGGCCCAGCCGGTGATGAAGAGGACGAAGCCGGGGATGAAGTTGCGCGTCGGGCTGCCGTCTCGCGCCTTGCTGAGCCAGATGCCCACGAGGCCCGCGCACCACCAGATCACGCCCATGGTGGTGTGCTGCCAGTCGTTCCTGACCCACGCGGTGCCCCAGCGGTGCTCGGTGAAGGTGTTGACGCAGCCCCAGGCGGCGATGACGGCGCTGTCGAAGAACTCCTGGCTGCGTCCGGTCCGACGGACCCAAAGCTGTCCAACCAGCAACAGGATGGTCAGCAGGATCGCGTACGCAATAAAGGCGCCCCCCATGATGAAGTGGGCCAAGCATTGCCCCAGATGATCCCCCTGGCAGAAACCCAGCGCCGTGATGCCGCCGAAGACCATTTGCACCCAGGCATAGACCGGGAAGGCCTTGCCGTTGACGCTATGAACGAGACGGGCGACAGGCCGTATGCGGCGATGGATGCCTCTTTCGAGGTGCAGCTTCAGGTAGATGCCCAGCACGACCTGGGCGAGCATGAGGAAGAGGAGGGGCGTGGCGGCCTTGGCGTGGACGTTCTTCGGGTTGAACTGTCGGCCCCGGTGCAGATGGCCGAGGACGTAGCCAAGAAGGGCGAGCAGCGTGGCAAACACCTGCAGCGGGACGTGCCAGCGGCTTTTGATCATCTAGACGCACGCAAATCCCTGTTAGGCATCGTCGCACCATCCGACCGACCGCACGAACCCAGCACACTCACCCCTAATACCATCCCCAGCGGGAACAACACGCCAAAGGCGAGAGTCTGGACAAAGATGTGTATCCATAATGTCGTGTCCTGCCGGCCTGTCAGCGACCTGCCGACCCTCGCCCTATCCAAGACGCCGCGGTCCGCCTTACAAGGGGGTCTAGCGAGATGGTTTGGCCTTCGGGGATCTTGTTCTCCTCGTGCCCTCCGTGCGCCAGCGCCATCGGTGCGAATGCGACCGCGAGAACAATGCCTGCCGTTGTGGAGGGGATTCGAAGTCTGGGACGCGGCAACGACGTCTTGTCGCTGCCCCGGCCCACCATGTCGCGCGTCATGGCGGGGGTGCGAGATGTATCTCTGGCCTGTGGAACTTGGAGGCTTGGCGGGCGCGGGTGTAGAGAACTCGGCCCAGGCGCTCGCGCGGGATCGGATGAAGGACAAGTCGCGTCGGGTGGTAGCGCAGTTGGGTTGCTTTCCACACGACGCTGGCCGCGATGCTGGTTTTAAAGGGCGGATGCCGCGGGGAGAAGATCGACAAGATGTTCGGACATCTCGGAACAGGGATGTCGGCCGTGGAAGCCAAGCGCCAAGCCGGCCGGTCGGCAGCGATTCATGACGTACAGCATGCGTCCCGCTAATGCAATTTCAGGGAGGAGATTGGTGGGCTCAATTCGAGGTGCAAGCCCCCGCAAGCCCCTCTTGTCAACCCGCAGCTTCTGGAACTTGCAACTGCCCCTCCATGGTCAACTCGGGCACACGGCGAACTGGGACAAGCGCGTCGCTGACACTGCAAGGTTTCGCCGCAATTGCAAGGGGAATTGATACCATCATAAATTTATTTGTTCGACCAATGAACGGCAACAGTTGGCATGTCAAACAAGACGTGTGGTACAGGCGCAGTTACAGGACCAGTGTGAGTGGACTGTGGACTGTGGACCCCTGCGCTAGGCGCCAACCTGGGCCTCGAGGCGCTGGAAACCGCCAGTCTCGGCGACATCCTTCTGCAGCGCCGCCATTCTCTTCTGGTCGCCGGTCGGGTCTGACGAATCGGCATCAAGCGCCCACTCCAGAAACTCATTGGTGTAGTTGGGCTCAAAGTCCTCGTCCAACACACACAGGCGCTTTCCGTACTTGGTGACCTTCTCCCAGTCGCGCTGCACGTTCTTGAGGTCCCTGGAGAAGTAGGCGAAGCTGCGCTCAAAGATCTTGTGGTTCAGCGCGGTGCCCATGACGGGCTTGAAGTCGACGTATTCGGCCCACGCCTGCTCGGGCTGCGCGAGGACGAAGTCGGTGGCGCGCTTGACGGCGCGCATGAAGGCGCGCACCTTGTCCGGGTTCTCGCTGATGAAGCGCTCGTTGCCAATGTACAGGATGGAGCAGAAGCAGCAGCAGCCGAGCTCGGCGAGCTCGTCGATGCGCAGCATCTGCACGTCGGTGCGGGGACGGCCCTGGGCCACGAGCCACTCCTCGAGCTCGACCATCTGCACGTTCTCGAGCCCGATGCCGGCGTCGATCTTGCCCTGGACGATGGCCTTGG